CCCTGGTGCCTGGAGGGGAGCCAGGGGTGCTTGCCTGGAAGGCGAGCGCGCACTTGCGCGCGTGTGCGCGCGAGCAGGCGGAGACTTGGATGTGGCGCCGAGACGGGTCGACCGCGTCCAGCGTTCACAGTTCTCCCTCCTGCTCGATCCTCTCCAGACATGGCCCCGTGCAAAAATCAGGACGGGAGGTTTTTGGCCGATTTCGGCTTCGGGGGGCCTTCGCCGGGCCTCGGGACCGTCGAAAACTACCCAGGACGGAAAACCGATCCCGGCGAAAGGGTCGGGACTTCCAGGGACCCCGTGTTGAAACAATCAGGACGTTGCATGTCTGGGCTCGATATTCTCGGATCCTCCTCCATCGCTGGGTGCCACCAGAGAGGTGGCCCCGGCAGGGGCCCCACGACTTCTTCCAGGAACTGGGACGCCCAGAATGGGCACGGAAACAATGGGTACGATGCCCGACCTCGGGTTTTCCTCCATCGCCGGGTGCGGCCAGAGGTGGCCCTGGCTGGGGCCCCAGGACCTCTTCCAGGAAGGCCCCACCCCGCGGCTTCCCCTGAGATCCGACGTCTCGATACCACTGAAACGCTGTGAGAAATCACGACTGGAGCCCGAGACCCCAGCTTTCTGCGTCATTTTTCGAGCCGGATCGAGCTGCTACTGTTAAGCGGGGCCTGTCCTTTTACAGGGGGAGTATTCAAAAGTAATAAAACAACAGTCCTGGGACTACTTTTTTTGCATTTTTTTGTCATTTTGGAGTATTGTTTAAGTATTTTTGATTTTTCGTCGAAAATCCCTCTGTAGGGGCACACGCCCAACTAAATGCTACTGGCCCCAAGCTGGGCGAGAAAGCGCCTGGCTCGATACGATGGAGTCGCCAACAACTCACGGGTCCAGAGCGCCCCCCCCCCCCCCCCCGCGGGAGGGCTCCAGGCCCAGACCCCCGACGTCGCGCTGTTTGTCGCAACGTCGACCCCCAGAGGTCGGGCCCCTCTCCCGGGACCGGCTCTTCCTGCGCCGTGTCTTTTGGCGGCCCCGCAGCCCGAGAAGGGCCCCCGGAGGCCGCAAATAGTGAACATTTTCCCGTCGATTCTGTATACAAATATAAAACTATAATATATATATATATATATACATATATGTATGAATATACAGTCGACCCTGATTAGTAGGTCGGCCTTGCCAGCTCAAGGGTACCCTTGTGTCCTGTGCCTCGCGACACGTGCCTTCTTACCTCCTATGGCGATGTGGCATTCGGAAGGGTCGGAAGGTCTTGTGTCCTCTCGCTTTCTTCTCCAATCAAGTCCGTACTGTATATTACATATAGATATCACATAACATTGCTGTACATCTATATATATAGCCAATTTACACATGTATAATCACTGCGCGCGAGGGAGAGGGTCATGGGGGGGGGCCCCCCTCGGGGGCCCCCCCCAGACCCTCTCCCTCGCGCGCAGTGATCTATACATGTGTAAATTTGTATATATATATATGTACAGCAATGTTTTATGTGTATATATATATGTATATATACAGTCGGACTTGATTGGAGAAGACACGCGAGAGGACACAAGACCCTTCCGAAGGCCACATCGCCGTAGGAGTGTAAGAAGGCACGTGTCGCGAGGCACAGGACACAAGGGTACCCTTGAGCTGGCAAGGCCGACCTACTAATCAGGGTCGACTGTATATTCATACATATATGTATATATATATATATATATTATAGTTTTATATTTGTATACAGAATCGACGGGAAAATGTTCACTATTTGCGGCCTCCGGGGGCCCTTCTCGGGCTGCGGGGCCGCCAAAAGACACGGCGCAGGAAGAGCCGGTCCCGGGAGAGGGGCCCGACCTCTGGGGGTCGACGTTGCGACAAACAGCGCGACGTCGGGGGTCTGGGCCTGGAGCCCTCCCGCGGGGGGGGGGGGGGGGGCGCTCTGGACCCGTGAGTTGTTGGCGACTCCATCGTATCGAGCCAGGCGCTTTCTCGCCCAGCTTGGGGCCAGTAGCATTTAGTTGGGCGTGTGCCCCTACAGAGGGATTTTCGACGAAAAATCAAAAATACTTAAACAATACTCCAAAATGACAAAAAAATGCAAAAAAAGTAGTCCCAGGACTGTTGTTTTATTACTTTTGAATACTCCCCCTGTAAAAGGACAGGCCCCGCTTAACAGTAGCAGCTCGATCCGGCTCGAAAAATGACGCAGAAAGCTGGGGTCTCGGGCTCCAGTCGTGATTTCTCACAGCGTTTCAGTGGTATCGAGACGTCGGATCTCAGGGGAAGCCGCGGGGTGGGGCCTTCCTGGAAGAGGTCCTGGGGCCCCAGCCAGGGCCACCTCTGGCCGCACCCGGCGATGGAGGAAAACCCGAGGTCGGGCATCGTACCCATTGTTTCCGTGCCCATTCTGGGCGTCCCAGTTCCTGGAAGAAGTCGTGGGGCCCCTGCCGGGGCCACCTCTCTGGTGGCACCCAGCGATGGAGGAGGATCCGAGAATATCGAGCCCAGACATGCAACGTCCTGATTGTTTCAACACGGGGTCCCTGGAAGTCCCGACCCTTTCGCCGGGATCGGTTTTCCGTCCTGGGTAGTTTTCGACGGTCCCGAGGCCCGGCGAAGGCCCCCCGAAGCCGAAATCGGCCAAAAACCTCCCGTCCTGATTTTTGCACGGGGCCATGTCTGGAGAGGATCGAGCAGGAGGGAGAACTGTGAACGCTGGACGCGGTCGACCCGTCTCGGCGCCACATCCAAGTCTCCGCCTGCTCGCGCGCACACGCGCGCAAGTGCGCGCTCGCCTTCCAGGCAAGCACCCCTGGCTCCCCTCCAGGCACCAGGGGAAGGGCCCAGGAGAGAGAGCGAGAGCGAGACCGCGCACCCCGGATCGTCAAGAGGGCAGGCCAGGGCGCCATCAGAGTGCATGCGAGCATGGTGTCCTGCTTTGGCCCCCTTTCCCCCATTCTCGCGAGATCCGACGAGGACACCGCGCAGCACGATGTATCCTGAATGAGGAGGAGGAGGAGGAGGAAGAGGAGGAGGCGGGGAAAATGCAGGTGCAGATTTGGAGGCGACCCTAGCAGCAAGGGCGCTGGTCACGGGTGTTTCAGCGGGCTCGTGAGAGGACATTGTATGCTGCGTTGCGAGAGGCAGTCTAGCCGCAAGGGAGCACTCGAAATGCGCACGGTCGCGGCGTGCCTCGGCGCTAAAACGGTTGTCGCCCCCGTCAGCGGCCGCACGTCAGAATACGCCATGGCACAAGCCATGCATGTCTGGATTCACTGCTGCTGGCATAGGGGGGCTGCACCAGGCGGCTGCGTGGAAGAGAAAGAGAGAGAGAGAGAGAGAGAGAAAACGAGAGAGAGAGAGAGCCAGAGAAAGAGATAGAGATAGAAGAGAGGACGCGCAGAGGGGAAGTCGAACCCGTGCTCCCTGCAGAGGTTGATACCCCAGCATGGAAGGTAAAGGATGCACCTAGTGACGGCCAGGTCCCGCACATGCCGCCACAATGGCCCAGGCGCTCGCCGGTACAATGGCGAAGGCGGCGAAGGCGGTTGCCGATGTGCTAACTCAGACGGCCTCTGCTGGAATGGCACAAACAGCTACAGTCGGACCCAGGCCAGAAGAACATCCTGCAAGAACATGAGGCCCTCCGCCGGCCCAAACCACACAGAACATCCAAGGGTAACCTCCCCAGGATGCACGAGAACGTTCAACAAGCACAAAGAACACTAGGGTACCCTCCCCGAACCGGCCTCGATCCTATGCCTCGGTCCGGCTGTACACTGGCTCGGGCACGATGAGGGGATAGGTCGGGGCAGTGCTGGCGCAGTGGCGCAGGGAGAGAGATGTTCCCATGGTGGGGCGCGTCGAAAGGGGGCGGGGCTCGCCCCAAGAAAACCAAAAATTTGCAACAATGATGAAGGGGCCCCAGGACACGCAAATAGATACACACAAATAAAAAGATTCCCCATATTTTCCCATATTTTCTGGGTCTTCGTCTTCCCCCCCACTTCCATTATTTTCTGGGGAATCGACGATGAATTGTGTCTGTGTATTTTTCCCTCCTGAGAGTGACAGGGACGCCAGCACCCCCCCCCACCAGCTGCACGAGCCCCGCGGCGGGCGTGGCGCCGCGCACCGAGGCAGGCCGTGGCCAGGGGACGGCGCCGGGCGGAGGCGAGGAGGGTTCGGAGAATTTTCGGCGACGACGATGCATCGAGCTTCGCTCGAGAGACGAGCGCCGCCTCTGGACCCGAAGCGAAGGGCCCCAGGTGCGGCGAGACCGAAGCTCGAGGCCCCAGGAGAAACAGGAAACCCTGGGGGCCGAGGGAACTGATATGGGAGGTCGAGGCAGAGGCGGGGGGAGGGCGACGAGGAGACGCGGACGGGCGGGCGCCAGGCTCCTCCTCCTCCCCCCTCCTCCTCCCCGCTTGCCCCGCTGCCGCGGTGCGCCGCCAGCCTCCCGAGGGACGCGCGCGCGCACGCACGTCGCAGGCTCCGGGGCAAGCCGGGGACGGCCCCAGGGTGAGGCCCGCGGTGCGCCCGGCGGGGGGGGGCGGTAGCTGGTGCCGAAAGGCGGCAGGTGCAGGGAACTGCACGCGAGGCGCACGACGAGACGCCGGGGGTGGAAGCCCTCAAGGGTGCCATGCCCCCACTCTCCGCAAACGACGGCGCCGACGACGGCGCCGACGACGACGACGACGACGACGACGACCACCAGGATGCCTTGTTCCACGGGAGGCACTCGCACGCCATCTTCCCATAGAGGGCGAACTCCTTCTTCACGTGGCACTCCGTGGACTTGGCTCCTGCAGCGGGGGGGGGGCTTTCTGCCAGGACAGAAACAACTGGTAATCGGCGTCTACTGGCCACCCGAGACGCGAGAGCCCTGGCCTCTCGCGTGTTTGCGTATCATCTTGGGTACCACCAGCGTGCTTGCAAATTACACGTCAAAGCGCATGCCGTACGCATGTGCGATCTCTCTCCTCGGCGCCCTCGCATGTGAACACAGGTGTCGGAAAGCTCGCGTGCCAGACTCATGTCGGGAGACCACCCTGGGGCACGTGCTTCTGAAGCAGGTGCCGAATCCACCTGCCGCATGTTGGATACCCGCCTTGGCGCCGACACGGGCGGAAACACGCGCCAGGTGCAGGCGCACCAGATGCCTGCGCCGAAAGCACGCGCGCCTGACCCACGCTCGATACTCCCTGCGCGCATGCACGCGTCTCTTTGCGGGCAGCGCGAAGATCCGAAAAACGTAACCGCCGTTCCCTCGGGCACCATGTCCAGGGTGCGCAGCGCGCGCTCGTAGCTTTGCCTTGCCGCGCTGTCGCACAAAAAGATGGGGCAGAGCAGGCAGGAACAAGACTGATGCCTGTAAACCTGCGAGTGCGATCTGCCTCCTTGCTACATCGCCTGGCCGCCCGGCGCGGACCACTCCCGCAGCTCACTCTACTCTGGCTCCTCGCCCTTGCAGCCCTTGTGGAAGTTGGTGCAGCAGTACTTGATCTTCTGGGGGGACCACGACAGCTCCAGGCAGTGCATGCAGTGGTGGTACCCGGCGTCGCAGTCGTACTTGTTGGTGTCCGGGGCGGGAGGCTCGCCCGAGGGCGGCAGGCCCGAGGGGGGCGGCAGCTCCGAGGGGCACCCCCTCTGGGCGGTCTTGCAGCAGTACAGCTTCTTCTCGCCGGACCAGCCGCGCACCCACTGCAGCGGGTCGAGGTCGTTGTATCCTGCGTTGCAGTCGATGGGGCAGGGCGACGTGGACGTGGTCGGGCACCCCTTGTTCTCCATGAGGCAGCACTGCACCTTCTTCGCCTGGTCCACGACTCCGGGGCACCTTCGCCGCAGTTGATCTTTTTCTCGGTGGTCGTGGGCGGCGGCGGAGGGGGCGGGGGCGGAGGCGGCGGCGGGGGTGGCGGGGGCGGCGGAGGCGGCGGCGGAGGCGGCGGCGCCTGCGTCGTCGTCTTCTTGGTCGTGGTGAACGTTATCTCGGGTGGCGCCGTGGTTGTCGGAATGAACGGCGTGGTGGTCGTCGTCGTGGTCGTGGTGGTGCTCCCCGGGGCGAGCGAGTAGAGGAGCAGCGGGAGCAGCAGCAGGGACAGCAGCCCTGGGATGAGGAGGAACAGGCAGCAGTTGGGGCCGCGGCCAGGAATGCGCAGCACCCCGAACTCGCCCGCGCCCGCCCCACGTATCTGTACGTCGTCTCCTGCACGTAGTCGCCCCCGGGGCCCACGTAGCTCAGGATCGTGCTGCCTCCTGCGCCCGTGCCGCAGCCGCTGCCGCCGCCCACGCCGCTGCCGCAGCCCGTCGCCTCGGCGCACCCCGCGCCGCAGGCGGGGACCGCAGCCCATGGCGGCGGTCGCCCCGGCGCAGCAGGCGGTTCCGCAGTCCGCCCCGCCGCCGTACGCGCCAGCGCCGTGCAGGCCGCCGGCATAGCCTGCCCCATACCCGGCGCGGTATGCCCATCCGAGCTAGGCCAAGGGCGCCCCCCGAGCGGTAGTACGCCATGTTGAGGTCAGCCTGAGAGGAGGCCAACGACTAGAAAAGAAAAAAGAGCCTGGGAGGCTTGAGCCCAAAACGGTACGAACGCAGTGAGGCAGGAGTCCTACGAGCGAAGGAGTGTTAGAGGAATCCCGCGCACCCATGTGGGGTAACCGCCCGGCGCCTACACACGTGAACGCACATGCAGACGTACGCGTGCAGGCGCATGTTCGATACCTCTCCCCATGTTTGATACCCCCCTTGGCGTCGAGGAACCGTGGCACTGGGAGCACAGACGCAGCTTACTTTTACGATGGTCGTGGCCCTCGGAGCGCGGACGCAGCGTTACTTACTCTGGATAGGTAGCAATAGGAGCGCGAAGCCAGGGTAATCCAAAGAGCCCTCTGGGCGCAGGGGGTCTAACGATATCTTGATTTACTTTTTCTACAACCCCGCTTCCCTTCGGGGAGGGGTACCCTCCCCCTCCCCTCCCAGGGGTCTGGACGGGGGGGTCCCGAGTCATCAGACCCTTTTTCGCTCCAAGATGGCTCCAAGAGGGCATCCGATGCTCCAAGATGGCCTCCAAGAGGGCTCCAGATAGCGCAAGATCGCTCAAGATGACCTCCGCCATGCCCAAGCTCCCAAGGGACGCCGCAGAGGCCCACAAGACGGCTCCAGGTGCCTCAGACCCCGTGAGTGACCTCCCAGAGAAGCTCAACATACTTTCAAGCTACGGGGATCAATGATTGGCGCATTCTCGCCTTTTCCCCGCTTTCCGATGAGTGTTTGAGTTGTCAAGGTGGCCCCCGATGCCCAAGAGAGCCAAGAGGCACCCAGATGCCCCCAAGACTGCCCAAGACGCCCAAGAGCGCCCAAAAGAGAAGGTCAAGCGCGTCCCAAGACTGCTATTTTGATGGCCCAGAGGAAGACTAAACGCTATTTACCCCCCTCTTTTCACGACACCCTCCGACGACAGCCCCAAAGAGGATCCCCAGGGAGTCCGAAGAGGCCCCGAGCGAGCTCAAGAGAGGTCCAAGCGAGGGACCCAAGAGCGCCCAAGGGGGGGGGGGGGGGAGCGGGCCCCCCCGAGACCCCCCAAAAGAGCTCTATGAGAAGTCCAAGACCCCTCAAAGAGCCCTAACAGGGCACCGAGCCCAAAGATGGCGCAAAAGATTGTGCCCCTCATCCTAATCGGCTTTCTCCAAGTCCTGAGATGGCTCCAATGGGTCTTCGTCGCTGTTGCCCTCCTCCTCATCCTCCTCCTCCTCCTCCTCCTCATCCTCCTCCTCCTCCTCCTCCTCCTCCTCCTCCTCCCCCACCTCCTCCTCCTCCTCCTCGTCCTTGCCCACATCGTCTTCATGTTCCTGTTTCTCCTCTTCCTGATCGTCGTGGTCGTCGTGGTCGTGGTGGTCGTGGTCGTGGTCGTGGTCGTGGTCGTCGTCGTCGTCGTCGTCGTCGTCGTCGTCGTCGTCATCCTCTTCCTCCTCCACTCGCCCCCACGCGGCCCCAAGGGATGGCCGAAAGAGGCTTTCCAAGGCCACCCCCTAGCTCCCAGAGATCTCTCGGTTGATCATGGCTGATTGCTTTGTTTCACTAGATGTGTCTCTTCGTCCCTGTTCCAGTCAGCTCGCAAGGTCAGGGTCTCTGAATGGGCTGGTTGGGATACGCGAGGCGTGAGGAATTTACTATGGGCCAGGTCCGCGCGCCGGAGGAGGACCGTGCGCGGGAGGAGGGCCCAGGCAGCATGGGATGGGAAGCGACGAGCGCGCCGACGGTCGGGTCGTGGCAACCCGGACGAGAACCAGATGCCGAGCCAAAGAGGGCCAATCGAAGACCACAAACGAAACCACGTGCCACATGCACGCGTGTCGGACGCATTTCTCCCCCCCCACCCCCTCGGCGGCCGCTTGTGGAAATCCGTGCCAGGCGCACTTCTGTGGCCCCCCATTCAGCCCTCATGGTTTCTGAGTCCTCCAAGAGCCGCTTGGGGCCTCTGAAGGCTCCTGGGGCCTCCCGGGCCTGCCGGGGCTTCCTGGGGCTTCGCCGGGTCTCCTGGGACCGCGGTGGGCTCTTCCTCCTCCTCCTCCTCCTCTTGATCCTCCTCCTCCCAACTCCTCCCAACTGCTCCAATCGTGGTTCCTCCGTGTCGTGCTCCCCCTGTCCCTCCATCCCTTTTGCTCTGTGGCGTCTGCGGCCAGAGCTCTCTCGCAGGACAGAAACAACCAGTGATCGGCGTCCACTGGCCGCCCGAGACGCGAGAGCCCTGGCCTCTCGCGTGCCATCCGCATGTTGGGTACCACGAGCGTGCGAGCAAGTTACGCGTCAAAGCGCATGCCGTACGCCTGTGCGATCATCTCTCTCCTCGGCGCCTGCGCATGTGAACACGGGTGTCAAAAGGTACGCGTGCCAGACTCATGTCGGGAGACCACCCTGGGGCACGTGCTTCTGAAGCAGGTGCCGAATCCGCCAGCCGCGTGTTGGATACCCACCTTGGGCGCCGACACGGGCGGAAACACGCGCCAGGTGCAGGCGCACCAGACGCCTGCGCCGAAAGCACGCGCGCCTGACCCACGCTCGATACTCCCTGCGCGCATGCACGCGTCTCTTTGCGGGCATCGCGAAGATCCGAAAAACGTAACCGCCGTTCCCTCGGGCACCATGTCCAGGGTGCGCAGCGCGCGCTCGTAGCTTTGCCTTGCCGCGCTGTCGCACAAAAAGATGGGGGCGGAGCAGGCAGGGACAGGACTGATGCCTGTAAACCTGCGAGCGCTACACAGAGGTTCCCATGATCAGCCTCCTTGCTACATCGCCTGGCCGCCCGGCGCGGACCACTCCCGAAGCTCACTCTACTCTGGCTCCTCGCCCTTGCAGCCCTTGTGGAAGTTGGTGCAGCAATACTTGATCTTCTGGGGGGACCACGACAGCTCCAGGCAGTGCATGCAGTGGTGGTACCCGGCGTCGCAGTCGTACTTGTTGGTGTCCGGGGCGGGAGGCTCGCCCGAGGGCGGCAGGCCCGAGGGGGGCGGCAGCTCCGAGGGGCACCCCCTCTGGGCGGTCTTGCAGCAGTACAGCTTCTTCTCGCCGGACCAGCCGCGCACCCACTGCAGCGGGTCGAGGTCGTTGTATCCTGCGTTGCAGTCGATGGGGCAGGGCGACGTGGACGTGGTCGGGCACCCCTTGTTCTCCATGAGGCAGCACTGCACCTTCTTCGCCTGGTCCCACGACTCCGGGGCACCTTCGCCGCAGTTGATCTTTTTCTCGGTGGTCGTGGGCGGCGGCGGAGGGGGCGGGGGCGGAGGCGGCGGCGGGGGTGGCGGGGGCGGCGGAGGCGGCGGCGGAGGCGGCGGCGCCTGCGTCGTCGTCTTCTTGGTCGTGGTGAACGTTATCTCGGGTGGCGCCGTGGTTGTCGGAATGAACGGCGTGGTGGTCGTCGTCGTGGTCGTGGTGGTGCTCCCCGGGGCGAGCGAGTAGAGGAGCAGCGGGAGCAGCAGCAGGGACAGCAGCCCCGGGATGAGGAGGAACAGGCAGCAGTTGGGGCCGCGGCCAGGAATGCGGAGCACCCCGAACTCGCCCGCGCCCGCGCCCACATATCTGTACGTCGTCTCCTGCACGTAGTCGCCCCCCGGGCCCACGTAGCTCAGGATCGTGCTGCCTCCCGCGCCCGTGCCGCAGCCGCTGCCGCCGCCCACGCCGCTGCCGCAGCCCGTCGCCTCGGCGCACCCCGCGCCGCAGGCGGGACCGCAGCCCATGGCGGCGGTCGCCCCGGCGCAGCAGGCGGTTCCGCAGTCCGCCCCGCCGCCGTACGCGCCAGCGCCGTGCAGGCCGCCGGCATAGCCTGCCCCATACCCGGCGCCGTAGCCCATCCCCGAGCTGCCCAAGGCGCCCCCCGAGCGGTAGTACGCCATGTTGAGGCAGCCTGAGAAGAGGCCAGACGACTAGAAAGGAAAAAAGAGCCTGGGAGGCTTGAGCCAAAACGGCTACGGAACGCAGTGAGGCAGGCGTCCTACGAGCGAAGGAGTGTAGAGGAATCCCCGCGCACCCATGTGGGGTACCCCCCTGGCGCCTACACACGTGAACGCACATGCCAGATGTACGCGTGCCAGGCGCATGTTCGATACCTCTCCCCATGTTGGATACCCCCCTTGGCGTCGAGGAACCGTGGCACTGGGAGCACAGACGCAGCTTACTTTTACGATGGTCGTGGCCCTCGGAGCGCGGACGCAGCGTTACTTATTCTGGATAGGGGTAATCCAAAGAGCCCTCTGGGCGCAGGGGGTCTAACGATATCTTGATTTACTTTTTCTACAGCCCCGCTTCCCTTCGGGGAGGGGTACCCTCCCCCTCCCCTCCCAGGGGTCTGGACGGGGGGGTCCCGAGTCATCAGACCCTTTTTCGCTCCAAGATGGCTCCAAGAGGGCATCCGATGCTCCAAGATGGCCTCCAAAAGGGCTCCAGATAGCGCAAGATCGCTCAAGATGACCTCCGTCATGCCTCCAAGACGCCGCAAGAGGGCCACAAGACGGTTCCAGGTGCCCTCAAAGACCCCTGAGGACCTCCCAGAGAAGCCAACATACTTTCAAGCCTAAGGGGGATCAATGATTGGCGCATTCTCGCCTTTTCGCTTCCGACGAGTTTTTGAGTTGTCAAGGTGGCCCCACGATGGCCCAAGAGAGCTCCAAGAGGCGCCCAAGATGCCCCCAAGACTGCCCCAAGACCGCCCAAGAGCGCCCAAAGAGAGGGTCAAGAGCGTCCCAAGATGCTATTTTGATGGCCCAGAAGGGAAGACTAAACGCTATTACCCCCCTCTTTTCACCGACACCCTCCACGACAGCCCCAAGAGGCCCCCCAGGGCTCCCGAGAGGCCCCCACGAGAGCCTCAAGAGAGGTCCAAGAGGGACCCAAGAGAGCCCCAAGAGCGCCCCGAGACCCCCCAAAAGAGCTCTATGAGAAGTCCAAGACCCCTCAAAGAGCCCTAACAGGGCACCGAGCCCAAAGATGGCGCAAAAGATTGTGCCCCTCATCCTAATCGGCTTTCTCCAAGTCCTGAGATGGCTCCAATGGGTCTTCGTCGCTGTTGCCCTCCTCCTCATCCTCCTCCTCCTCCTCCTCCTCCTCCTCCCCCACCTCCTCCTCCTCCTCCTCCTCGTCCTTGCCCACATCGTCTTCATGTTCCTGTTTCTCCTCTTCCTGATCGTCGTGGTCGTCGTGGTCGTGGTGGTCGTGGTCGTGGTCGTGGTCGTCGTCGTCGTCGTCGTCGTCGTCGTCGTCATCCTCTTCCTCCTCCACTCGCCCCCACGCGGCCCCAAGGGATGGCCGAAAGAGGCTCTCCAAGGCCACCCCCTAGCTCCCAGAGATCTCTCTGTTGATCATGGTTGATTGCTTTGTTTCACTAGATGTGTCTCTTCGTCCCTGTTCCAGTCAGCTCGCAGGGTCAGGGTCTCTGAATGGGCTGGTTGGGATACGCGAGGCGTGAGGAATTTACTATGGGCCAGGTCCGCGCGCCGGAGGAGGACCGTGCGCGGGAGGAGGGCCCAGGCAGCATGGGATGGGAAGCGACGAGCGCGCCGACGGTCGGGTCGTGGCAACCCGGACGAGAACCAGATGCCGAGCCAAAGAGGGCCAATCGAAGACCACAAACGAAACCACGTGCCACATGCACGCGTGTCGGACGCATTTCTACCCCCCCACCCCCTCGGCGGCCGCTTGTGGAAATCCGTGCCAGGCGCACTTCTGTGGCCCCCCATTCAGTCCTCATGGTTTCTGAGTCCTCCAAGAGCCGCTTGGGGTCTCTGAAGGCTCCTGGGGCCTCCCGGGCCTGCCGGGGCTTCCTGGGGCTTCGCCGGGTCTCCTGGGACCGCGGTGGGCTCCTCCTCCTCCTCCTCCTCCTCCTCCTCCTCCTCTTGATCCTCCTCCTCCCAACTCCTCCCAACTGCTCCAATCGTGGTTCCTCCGTGTCGTGCTCCCCCTGTCCCTCCATCCCTTTTGCTCTGTGGCGTCTGCGGCCAGAGCTCTCTCGCAGGACAGAAACAACCAGTGATCGGCGTCCACTGGCCGCCCGAGACGCGAGAGCCCTGGCCTCTCGCGTGCCATCCGCATGTTGGGTACCACGAGCGTGCGAGCAAGTTACGCGTCAAAGCGCATGCCGTACGCCTGTGCGATCATCTCTCTCCTCGGCGCCTGCGCATGTGAACACGGGTGTCAAAAGGCACGCGTGCCAGACTCATGTCGGGAGACCACCCTGGGGCACGTGCTTCTGAAGCAGGTGCCGAATCCGCCAGCCGCGTGTTGGATACCCGCCTTGGGCGCCGACACGGGCGGAAACACGCGCCAGGTGCAGGCGCACCAGACGCCTGCGCCGAAAGCAAGCGCGCCTGACCCACGCTCGATACTCCCTGCGCGCATGCACGCGTCTCTTTGCGGGCATCGCGAAGATCCGAAAAACGTAACCGCCGTTCCCTCGGGCACCATGTCCAGGGTGCGCAGCGCGCGCTCGTAGCTTTGCCTTGCCGCGCTGTCGCACAAAAAGATGGGGGCGGAGCAGGCAGGGACAGAACTGATGCCTGTAAACCTGCGAGCGCTACACAGAGGTTCCCATGATCAGCCTCCTTGCTACATCGCCTGGCCGCCCGGCGCGGACCACTCCCGAAGCTCACTCTACTCTGGCTCCTCGCCCTTGCAGCCCTTGTGGAAGTTGGTGCAGCAGTACTTGATCTTCTGGGGGGACCACGACAGCTCCAGGCAGTGCATGCAGTGGTGGTACCCGGCGTCGCAGTCGTACTTGTTGGTGTCCGGGGCGGGAGGCTCGCCCGAGGGCGGCAGGCCCGAGGGGGGCGGCAGCTCCGAGGGGCACCCCCTCTGGGCGGTCTTGCAGCAGTACAGCTTCTTCTCGCCGGACCAGCCGCGCACCCACTGCAGCGGGTCGAGGTCGTTGTATCCTGCGTTGCAGTCGATGGGGCAGGGCGACGTGGACGTGGTCGGGCACCCCTTGTTCTCCATGAGGCAGCACTGCACCTTCTTCGCCTGGTCCCACGACTCCGGGGCACCTTCGCCGCAGTTGATCTTTTTCTCGGTGGTCGTGGGCGGCGGCGGAGGGGGCGGGGGCGGAGGCGGCGGCGGGGGTGGCGGGGGCGGCGGAGGCGGCGGCGGAGGCGGCGGCGCCCGCGTCGTCGTCTTCTTGGTCGTGGTGAACGTTATCTCGGGTGGCGCCGTGGTTGTCGGAATGAACGGCGTGGTGGTCGTCGTCGTGGTCGTGGTGGTGCTCCCCGGGGCGAGCGAGTAGAGGAGCAGCGGGAGCAGCAGCAGGGACAGCAGCCCCGGGATGAGGAGGAACAGGCAGCAGTTGGGGCCGCGGCCAGGAATGCGGAGCACCCCGAACTCGCCCGCGCCCGCGCCCACATATCTGTACGTCGTCTCCTGCACGTAGTCGCCCCCCGGGCCCACGTAGCTCAGGATCGTGCTGCCTCCCGCGCCCGTGCCGCAGCCGCTGCCGCCGCCCACGCCGCTGCCGCAGCCCGTCGCCTCGGCGCACCCCGCGCCGCAGGCGGGACCGCAGCCCATGGCGGCGGTCGCCCCGGCGCAGCAGGCGGTTCCGCAGTCCGCCCCGCCGCCGTACGCGCCAGCGCCGTGCAGGCCGCCGGCATAGCCTGCCCCATACCCGGCGCCGTAGCCCATCCCCGAGCTGCCCAAGGCGCCCCCCGAGCGGTAGTACGCCATGTTGAGGCAGCCTGAGAAGGAGGCCAGACGACTAGAAAGGAAAAAAGAGCCTGGGAGGCTTGAGCCAAAACGGCTACGGAACGCAGTGAGGCAGGCGTCCTACGAGCGAAGGAGTGTAGAGGAATCCCCGCGCACCCATGTGGGGTACCCCCCTGGCGCCTACACACGTGAACGCACATGCCAGATGTACGCGTGCCAGGCGCATGTTCGATACCTCTCCCCATGTTGGATACCCCCCTTGGCGTCGAGGAACCGTGGCACTGGGAGCACAGACGCAGCTTACTTTTACGATGGTCGTGGCCCTCAGAGCGCGGACGCAGCGTAACTCACAAGGGGCTGTGGCCCTCGGAGTGCGGACGCAGCGTTACTTACTCTGGATAGGTAGCCCTAGGAGCGCGAAGCCAGGGTAATCCAAAGAGCCCTCTGGGCGCAGGGGGTCTAACGATATCTTGATTTACTTTTTCTACAACCCCGCTTCCCTTCGGGGAGGGGTACCCTCCCCCTCCCCTCCCAGGGGTTTGGACGGGGGGGTCCCGAGTCATCAGACCCTTTTTCGCTCCAAGATGGCTCCAAGAGGGCATCCGATGCTCCAAGATGGCCTCCAAGAGGGCTCCAGATAGCGCAAGATCGCTCAAGATGACCTCCGCCATGCCTCCAAGACGCCGCAAGAGGCCACGAGACGGTTCCAGCCAGTGCCCTCAAAACCTCCTGAGGACCTCCCAGAGAAGCAACATACTTCTCAAGCCAAGGGGGATCCATGATTGCGCATTCTTGCCCTTTTCGCTTCCTCGATGAGTTCTTGATTTGTCAAGGCGGCCCCACGATGGCCCAAAGAGAGCTCCCAAGAGGCGCCCCAAGATGCCCCAAGACTGCCCCAAGACCGCCCAAGAGCGCCCAAAAGAGAGGGTCAAGAGCGTCCACATCCCAAGATCTATTTTGATGGCCCAGAAGGGAAAGACGAAACGCTATTACCAACCAATAACCACCCCCCTCTTTTCACCGACACCCTCCACGACAGCCCCAAGAGGCCCCCCAGGGCTCCCGAGAGGCCCCCACGAGAGCCTCAAGAGAGGTCCAAGAGGGACCCAAGAGGGCCCCAAGAGCGCCCCGAGACCCCCCAAAAGAGCTCTATGAGAAGTCCAAGACCCCTCAAAGAGCCCTAACAAGGCTCCGAGCCCAAAGATGGCGCAAAAGATTGTGCCCCTCATCCTAATCGGCTTTCTCCAAGTCCTAAGATGGCTCCAATGGGTCTTCGTCGCTGTTACCCTCCTCCTCCTCCTCCTCCTCCTCCTCCTCCTCCTCCTCCTCCTCCTCCTCCCCCACCTCCTCCTCCTCGTCCTCGTCCTTGCCCACATCGTCTTCATGTTCCTGTTTCTCCTCTTCCTGATCGTCGTGGTCGTCGTGGTCGTGGTGGTCGTGGTCGTGGTCGTGGTCGTGGTCGTCGTCGTCGTCGTCGTCGTCGTCGTCGTCGTTGTCGTCGTCGTCGTCGTTTTCGTCGTCGTCGTCGTGGTCGTCGTCGTCGTCGTCGTCATCCTCTTCCTCCTCCACTCGCCCCCACGCGGCCCCAAGGGATGGCCGAACGAGGCTTTCCAATGCCACCCCCTAGCTCCCAGAGATCTCTCTGTTGATCATGGTTGATTGCTTTGTTTCACTAGATGTGTCTCTTCGTCCCTGTTCCAGTCAGCTCGCAAGGTCAGGGTCTCTGAATGGGCTGGTTGGGATACGCGAGGCGTGAGGAATTTACTATGGGCCAGGTCCGCGCGCCGGAGGAGGACCGTGCGCGGGAGGAGGGCCCAGGCAGCATGGGATGGGAAGCGACGAGCGCGCCGACGGTCGGGTCGTGGCAACCCGGACGAGAACCAGATGCCGAGCCAAAGAGGGCCAATCGAAGACCACAAACGAAACCACGTGCCACATGCACGCGTGTCGGACGCATTTCTCCCCCCCCACCCCCTCGGCGGCCGCTTGTGGAAATCCGTGCCAGGCGCACTTCTGTGGCCCCCCATTCAGCCCTCATGGTTTCTGAGTCCTCCAAGAGCCGCTTGGGGCCTCTGAAGGCTCCTGGGGCCTCCCGGGCCTGCCGGGGCTTCCTGGGGCTTCGCCGGGTCTCCTGGGACCGCGGTGGGCTCTTCCTCCTCCTCCTCCTCCTCTTGATCCTCCTCCTCCCAACTCCTCCCAACTGCTCCAATCGTGGTTCCTCCGTGTCGTGCTCCCCCTGTCCCTCCATCCCTTTTGCTCTGTGGCGTCTGCGGCCAGAGCTCTCTCGCAGGACAGAAACAACCAGTGATCGGCGTCCACTGGCCGCCCGAGACGCGAGAGCCCTGGCCTCTCGCGTGCCATCCGCATGTTGGGTACCACGAGCGTGCGAGCAAGTTACGCGTCAAAGCGCATGCCGTACGCCTGTGCGATCATCTCTCTCCTCGGCGCCTGCGCATGTGAACACGGGTGTCAAAAGGCACGCGTGCCAGACTCATGTCGGGAGACCACCCTGGGGCACGTGCTTCTGAAGCAGGTGCCGAATCCGCCAGCCGCGTGTTGGATACCCGCCTTGGGCGCCGACACGGGCGGAAACACGCGCCAGGTGCAGGCGCACCAGACGCCTGCGCCGAAAGCAAGCGCGCCTGACCCACGCTCGATACTCCCTGCGCGCATGCACGCGTCTCTTTGCGGGCATCGCGAAGATCCGAAAAACGTAACCGCCGTTCCCTCGGGCACCATGTCCAGGGTGCGCAGCGCGCGCTCGTAGCTTTGCCTTGCCGCGCTGTCGCACAAAAAGATGGGGGCGGAGCAGGCAGGGACAGAACTGATGCCTGTAAACCTGCGAGCGCTACACAGAGGTTCCCATGATCAGCCTCCTTGCTACATCGCCTGGCCGCCCGGCGCGGACCACTCCCGAAGCTCACTCTACTCTGGCTCCTCGCCCTTGCAGCCCTTGTGGAAGTTGGTGCAGCAGTACTTGATCTTCTGGGGGGACCACGACAGCTCCAGGCAGTGCATGCAGTGGTGGTACCCGGCGTCGCAGTCGTACTTGTTGGTGTCCGGGGCGGGAGGCTCGCCCGAGGGCGGCAGGCCCGAGGGGGGCGGCAGCTCCGAGGGGCACCCCCTCTGGGCGGTCTTGCAGCAGTACAGCTTCTTCTCGCCGGACCAGCCGCGCACCCACTGCAGCGGGTCGAGGTCGTTGTATCCTGCGTTGCAATCGATGGGGCAGGGCGACGTGGACGTGGTCGGGCACCCCTTGTTCTCCATGAGGCAGCACTGCACCTTCTTCGCCTGGTCCCAGGACTCCGGGGCACCTTCGCCGCAGTTGATCTTTTTCTCGGTGGTCGTGGGCGGCGGCGGAGGGGGCGGGGGCGGAGGCGGCGGCGGGGGTGGCGGGGGCGGCGGAGGCGGCGGGGGAGGCGCCTGGGTCGTCGTCTTCTTGGTCGTGGTGGCTGTGGTGGTCGTGTCGGGTGGCGCCGTGGTTGTCGGAATGAACGGCGTGGTGGTCGTCGTCGTGGTCGTGGTGGTGCTCCCCGGGGCGAGCGAGTAGAGGAGCAGCGGGAGCAGCAGCAGGGACAGCAGCCCCGGGATGAGGAGGAACAGGCAGCAGTTGGGGCCGCGGCCAGGAATGCGGAGCACACCCGAACTCGCCCGCGCCCGCGCCCACATATCTGTACGTCGTCTCCTGCACGTAGTCGCCCCCCGGGCCCACGTAGCTCAGGATCGTGCTGCCTCCCGCGCCCGTGCCGCAGCCGCTGCCGCCGCCCACGCCGCTGCCGCAGCCCGTCGCCTCGGCGCACCCCGCGCCGCAGGCGGGACCGCAGCCCATGGCGGCGGTCGCCCCGGCGCAGCAGGCGGTTCCGCAGTCCGCCCCGCCGCCGTACGCGCCAGCGCCGTGCAGGCCGCCGGCATAGCCTGCCCCATACCCGGCGCCGTAGCCCATCCCCGAGCTGCCCAAGGCGCCCCCCGAGCGGTAGTACGCCATGTTGAGGCAGCCTGAGAAGGAGGCCAGACGACTAGAAAGGAAAAAAGAGCCTGGGAGGCTTGAGCCAAAACGGCTACGGAACGCAGTGAGGCAGGCGTCCTACGAGCGAAGGAGTGTAGAGGAATCCCCGCGCACCCATGTGGGGTACCCCCCTGGCGCCTACACACGTGAACGCACATGCCAGATGTACGCGTGCCAGGCGCATGTTCGATACCTCTCCCCATGTTGGATACCCCCCTTGGCGTCGAGGAACCGTGGCACTGGGAGCACAGACGCAGCTTACTTTTACGATGGTCGTGGCCCTCAGAGCGCGGACGCAGCGTAACTCACAAGGGGCTGTGGCCCTCGGAGTGCGGACGCAGCGTTACTTACTCTGGATAGGTAGCCCTAGGAGCGCGAAGCCAGGGTAATCCAAAGAGCCCTCTGGGCGCAGGGGGTCTAACGATATCTTGATTTACTTTTTCTACAACCCCGCTTCCCTTCGGGGAGGGGTACCCTCCCCCTCCCCTCCCAGGGGTTTGGACGGGGGGGTCCCGAGTCATCAGACCCTTTTTCGCTCCAAGATGGCTCCAAGAGGGCATCCGATGCTCCAAGATGGCCTCCAAGAGGGCTCCAGATAGCGCAAGATCGCTCAAGATGACCTCCGCCATGCCTCCAAGACGCCGCAAGAGGGCCACGAGACGGTTCCAGGTGCCCTCAAAGACCCCTGAGGACCTCCCAGAGAAGCCAACATACTTTCAAGCCTAAGGGGGATCAATGATTGGCGCATTCTCGCCTTTTCGCTTCCGATGAGTTCTTGAGTTGTCAAGGTGGCCCCACGATGGCCCAAGAGAGCTCCAAGAGGCGCCCAAGATGCCCCCAAGACTGCCCCAAGACCGCCCAAGAGCGCCCAAAGAGAGGGTCAAGAGCGTCCCAAGATGCTATTTTGATGGCCCAGAAGGGAAGACTAAACGCTATTACCCCCCTCTTTTCACCGACACCCTCCACGACAGCCCCAAGAGGCCCCCCAGGGCTCCCGAGAGGCCCCCACGAGAGCCTCAAGAGAGGTCCAAGAGGGACCCAAGAGGGCCCCAAGAGCGCCCCGAGACCCCCCAAAAGAGCTCTATGAGAAGTCCAAGACCCCTCAAAGAGCCCTAACAAGGCTCCGAGCCCAAAGATGGCGCAAAAGATTGTGCCCCTCATCCTAA